CTGGTATCATAGGGAGAGCTTGATCAGAGAATAAGGACATTTCAAGGACTTTAGGAAACAACACACAGATTGGAGACAACAGGCAGGACAGATGAAGCAAGCAAGCCCTTTGGATATCTGAGAAATATTAAAAATGTAAACTGAAGAGAACAAATGTTAGGGATGCAAGATAGAGGATAAATGTGGAGATTTTGGAGCCCTCTGGTGGTGTGAAATAGACTTGCAACTCCATTATTTATTTATTTTCATCTTCTGCCTTGTCACTGGTCCTCAAAAAGTAATTGTTTTCCCAAATCATTTCAAGCCCTCTGCAGTTAATCTATTCCTTATCATTAATAGCGCTCAAGTAGTCTATTCAAAAGAACTCTTATTCACTCTTTTTTGATACCCCACTCAAGAAAATGAGCAACCTTCTGACAGAGATCAAGTGTTTTCTCAAGTTAAAATGGGAACTGTGATGCTTACGGTTATGTAAAAATTGATCAAGCCATACTTTTCAGTGGCTTCCCTGTTTATGCAACAATAGCTGTACTACATAAATGCCCTCCGTTCTGTGATCTGATGTGAACAGTCAATCAGTTGAAAGGGGGTTTTCTTGGAGGTGAGCCTGCCCTGGTATTTATGTCAGTTCTAGCAAAGCTCACCCTCTTGCAATCCTGCATCAGATTCATCGTTATCTGACCTCTGAGTCTTGAAATGTGAGCCAGCAGTCTGACATCTCACCTGTAGGTTTTGGGTTCCTCAGCCTCTGCAATCATGCATGTCAGGAAAAGCTTTCAGCCTGATGCTTAATACATGGATTTGGAATTTGCCAACCTCCACAACTGTGTGCCACCACTCATCTGTCAAATCACTGTACTATAGTGGTTTTCATGTTACTGTGATTCTGGAAGCTATACCACCAGTATTTCAAATACCAGCAGGGTCACCCATGGTGGACAGATTTCAGCTGAGCTTCCAGATCAAGACAGACTAAGAAGATGGAGAGACAGATTACTTCTGAATATTTAGTCACTGAAAACCTTATAAATAGCAGTGGAACACTGTTAGCCCCAGAACATTGAATACTGAAACACAATGAAGAGCACCAGAATATTGTCAGGTATAGCATTGGAAGATAAATCCCTCAGGTTGGAAGGCACTCAAGATGCAACTGGGGAAGAACTGCTTCCTCAAAGTAGAGTTGACTGTGATGACACAAAGGAAGTAAAACCTTTGGAACCTTCATTTGCTAATGGGGCACAATTCAAAACGAAGAGAAACAGTTGTAAACATACATTAATAATCAGAAAATGGAATATACAAAGTATGAATCTAGGAAAATTGGAAGTTGTCAGAAAATGAAATGGAATGCATAAACAGCAATAGCCTAGGCATTATAAGCTGAAATGGACTGGTATTGGCCATTTGAACCTGACAATCGCCTGGTTTATGATATGGGTAATGACAAAGTGAAGAGGAATGGCATCATATTCATCATCAAAACAACATTTCAAGATCTATATTGAAATAAATGCTGTCTGTGATAGGATGATATGCATATACCTAAGAGGAAGACCAGTTAATACAAGTATTATTGAAATTTACCCACCAACCACTAAAATCAGTGATGATG